CTTAGCCAGCAATGACTCAACACACACCACAGATGAAAGCTTGCTGGCTAAGAGAGAGACTTGGTTAGATGTGACTTGGCTTTTGGTCACAGGGCTATAATGTGGCTAATGTCTCCCCCTACAGTCTACTGTAGGATTATAAATACCAAACAGAACCCCTGTTTTTCCTTCCTGATACATTATTGGACATAACTTAGATTAGGAACCAAAACATCTGTGTTAGTTTTTTTTATTACTGGTCGAGGGGAAAAAGCAGAATTTTGCAGACAGCTACCAGTGCCAGCTGAGTGCAGACTGAAAAGGGCACAGTCGGACCACGGTGTGGTGAGGCTGGGTGTCTGTGTTGTTTTGTGCCTGTCTATCAGAGGGCCAGGGAGGTTTCCTGCCATTTTGCTGGAGAGTAGAGTTTCTTTGAAGGGACAGGAAGGCAGGACTGTATTTCCCACAGCCTAGCGTGGACTGCAGGGCCAGACCTGACCGCCCCCCACCCCCTCACTCTGCCTTTCCTCTCTGTCTTTCACACAGACAAACACACACACACATCAGACCGCTTCATAAACACACAGAGACATGCATTTAAAAGGCACATCATACGTACACGCCTAAATACCAGGTTCTTTTTCTACTGTCTTCTTCAAACGCGTTCAATCTACACCCGATTCCCAGAGCACAATCATTTGTGCTAAAGTGAGAAGGTGGTAATTTGAGAAATTCCTTCCTTTTAATTTTTGTGTGTGACACACACAGGGCCCACACTGGCAGCAAAGATAGATATTTATGCAGCACCCAATTAATCTGTTCATCTCTGCACAGTAAAATTAATTCTAAAAAGTAAAAAAAAAAAAAAACATTTTCCTGTCACATTAAAATTCCCAAAATTCAAAACCCTAAGCAACTTTACAAACCAAGAGCAAGGGCTTAGTCTATTAATACAATTGAAATCTTTCGTCCTGGTGGCTCAGACTAGGTGACTGCATGGCTACTGTTTAAGTGTGTAAAAAACATACTGCACTATCACGTCATCTATAGTTATAGAATTAAATTATAAATGTTATTTTAATTAACAATGGCTTCCTTTCTGTGAATTTCTTGCCATCACGAAAAGATCATAAATAAAAAAGGAATCTGCGGCCCAAGACATTACAGCCTCAATTGTTTTTTCCTCCTGTGTGGCCTGATTCCTAATAGGCCCTCTGATTAGATTCCTCCGTCGATATCAGTGGGCAGCCATACTCACGCCATGGTGCTCAAAACAAACAGTTACTCAGCTCTGCCATTTGTTCTAATGGAGTGGTGCTGGGAGTGCAGAGGAGAGGGAGGGTGGGAAACTTCAGCCGGGCTACTGTACATATCTGAGCCTTGATGTGGCAACAATGTGTTCGGCGGAGGACGGGTGCCGGGGTGTTGGGTCACTTCCTTCCTACTGAGGCTGAGAAAGAAGAGGGAGACCAGACGGACTGAGAGTCTGAAGCCAGATACTGACTTCAGATCAGTGTGTGGTTACAGGGGGAGACATAAATGGAGTTTGTCCTCGCTCTGTGAATGAGGAAAAGGTGAGGGCTGCCGAGCGTGGGAGAGTGTGTTGGGGAGAGGTGAGAGACACCTCGGGTCTCATGTGAACTCCCTGAACACAGTTGACACTACATAGACACTCGTGCGCACTTTTTCCTCACTCACTCACATGCATGCAAACACACACACACACTCTCAGACACATACACATTCACAGACGGACCATCTATTAGTGTTACCTAATCTAAGTACTTGAACAATGACCAGTAGCTAAACTTCCTTGCTTTGTCTCTCTCCGTATAACTTCACAAGATCTTTCAGACTGTTCTCACACAAACACACAAATACTTGTTTTGTTTCTCACTTTTACACACAAACAATTTCACAAGCACATCTACACACGCACATAGCAGAGGCAAAATAATCTGCTCTCTCTTTCTCTATCTCTCTCTCGACAGCCGCCTGTAAAAACCATAAGATTTAATGTCATGTGAAGAAGCTTTTGAATACAATTATTCAGGCCCTCAACAAAATGTTGTTTTTTATATAATTTTGGAAAAAGATTTAGCAAAAACCAAAAGGAGATAAAAGCTAAAATGAATGTCAAGCCCTGGTATTGATTTAGAGGGGAAAATAAAGCTGAAAAGATTTATCATCATCAGTCAATTATACTTTAATGATTAACAAATAGAATTACTTCTTTTCTATGTCTTTTTAAGACATTTTAAAGAATTAAAAGATAAGAATAACTGACCTGATGTAAAAAGAAAAATACATTACACTACCACACAGAACAAAAAGCGAGCTGTCATTATAATACACGACTGTGACATTTTATCAGTCACAGAAAGGCTGAGCGGGTCAGTGAGAAGGGAAGTGTTGTCTGTAAAACAGTACTGGCCTCTCTCACCCTGAACATCCATCAATCATCTGGATCCTGGCAGTGAATCAGCTCGCACTCTGTTCCAGCTGACCCCTAACTCAACGAGTCAAGCTTATTTGACAAAGTGCTGGTGTGCACACGTACGCCCAAGTGCACACACGTGAACGCACCAGTGTGGCCCAACACCTTAAACAGCTAAACTGCTGACACTGTGTTTATACGAGTGCAGTTGTGCAGACACTCTTTTATCTCCATCTAATAGGGTTTTTTTTTCCGCTGCTTGACGCAGAGACAGCTCTGCCCCGCTGACACTGGACTCGTTGCTCTGGACTCTGTCACGGGCCGTTAAAACCAACTGGGGTTGAAATGCATGAAATATATTTAAACAATAACAAATGACTACAATAAACAAATTATTGAAAAATAGAGACATATGACTTTACTCAACATAACTATCTGTTCTTACGTCAGCACAGATGACTGCTGTGTACAGTCGTATAGTGAGGTATTCAACTAATGGATCAGATCCTAAAGGGCAAATTCTCCTCTGATTGCATTTTTCAATTGTTTAGTAATATCAGTTTAATAACTAAGGTGGGGCAAAGCCAAATCCCAAAGATGCTGTGATTGCATTTCAAAGTTTTCTTACCCGGTATCTGAATGAAGGTCCATCCATGGCGAGGGTGCAACGCCATCACACCCCCGGGACTCACTGGATGGAAGAAATTAGCCCTTGTGCACCAGTCAGATGCAAGTTCGGGAGAGCCGTAGAGGAAACACTGTTTGAAGACGGTTCCTCCTCCACCGCGGGTTACCCACCACTCATATGCGGCGCTGCGATCATCTGTGTAACGCTCCATGGGAACGGCCGTCACCTGTAATAACCCATGTGCGAAAATAAGAAAAAAGAAACACTTAGTCAAATAATGACACTTGAATTGATCTTAACTTGATTTTACAAATTTACCTTATACACTGCTTACCCACAACTAAACACATGCACATACACATTTTAAAAGATAAGAACTGCTCATTGTTGAAAGCCTACAAAATCAAGAGCTTTCCACTCCCCTTTTCACGTCCACCCAAACTCTTGCCCATCTTTTCACATGGGCACAGCTACACAGACACAGATTGATCTTCTTACCCTTGGAGTGGCAGTGAGCAGGAACTTTGGTGGTAGACTGGGTCGACATGGACGAACCGTAACAGTGGTGGAATTCCTGTTGAGGATCTTCTCATCCGTATGTCCCAGCATGCCTGGCCTGGATGCTGTGAACACCAAATCCTGACAAAGAAACACAAAAATACAGTGTTATCTGATTATTTATTGGCAGCTCATTCAAATATATAATAACTTTAAATACAGTTGCTTCAGGTTATGTTATAGTTATGCTTTTGGAATCTTGCAGTGTGACCATCAAAATTCTCACTATATGCACATAGAGTAAACATGCTGTTAATGTGGTTTTAACAACATAGTTCATGTCACTGTGAGGGTTTGGATTTCAGTGAAATAAAACAAAATTACACTCCACCAAATAAAATTCGGCAATGTTAGAGAACTGTAAAAGATAATGCTTTGGTTTGAGATGCTGTTTCTGTGTGCACTATTGTAATGCCACTGTAGTGATGGATACACAGTGCCACCCAAAGGAGGAAATTGTTACGACATCCTTCCCACCACTGTTAATTTTTATTTGCACTTAATTTTTTTTTAGAATAAACTAACAATGAAGCAGCACTGCTATTGAACTCCTACAGACTTGATGTTGATGATTTAGAATAGAACTGTCATTGATATGTGATGCTGTGGAGGAGTTTTGGGCTGTAAAGTAAACATCAGCATAACTTGACGATTTACAAGTGTATAAGTCATAAGTGACATAAATACAAAGAAAAATCAGTCAAATCAGTCAAAAAGGGAGACAGAAGTTTCCATGAAGGAGATGCTGATACAGAAGGTCAGAGAGCCCGTTGGCAGCAGCGCCACATGACCATATGAGTAACAACCCCTGCGTGCTGCCCGATTCTGCCCGAGAGCTGAAAGTAATACAGACCGCACTGTCATGTACCGGGCCAGAGAGCAATGAGCCAAACAGAGAGGAGAGCCACTGGGTGCCAGCTTCACAAACAGCATTCAAAGAAAAACAATGACTTGACAGGAGTTGGCTAAAACTTCAGGGAGTCATTTCAAGTCTCAGTCTGTGGTCTACACAGTACCAAAGCACATATACAGAATCAGCTGACCAGGTGTCTGGGAGTTTCTATGTCTCTCATATATTGCTTAAAATATTTTTCCTTTTTGTATTGATTTCTCAAGACCCTCTTGGGTGGTTTTAAATCCAAGTCAAACATATACAGTAAGGTAGTAGGATGTAGCCAAAGGAGGAGGAGGATGGAGTTGCACCGACAGCACTTTTTTTTTTTGCATTCTTGTGTTTTCTACAGAAAAGTTTATTTAAAATCAGTGGAGGATGAAAATGTGATACCAAATGAAGATGTGAAAGTGATAAAGCAGAACTTTTAGGTGATCTGTGGGGAGCAGCTGCTTATTTTTTAAAGCGGTCTGCTTATTTTAACTAGAACATGTGCTGCAGTTTCACTTTTAAAAATTACAGTTATATGGCTAGGAAGTATTTATTCTTTTTTTTATTAACCATTATTTTTATACATGTATTACGGTTGCTATTATGGAAATCACATTCGTTTTAAGAGAAGTTAAGTTATCTTGTTATGTTTATGTGGACGACAAAAACAATAAGCACAGTCTGTCGTTAGAACTTTGAAACACAGTTTTTATCCAATTTTATCTTAAGTGAAATGGTCACAGGATACAGCGAATGGTTTAAAATGTCCTTTGTCATGTTTTACCCAAAATGTATTTCTAATCTTCAAGTATTTATTTTTCAGATTCCTGACATGTTCCATCATCATGCCAGAGTTTTGGAAAGTCTTAGTATGCAACTGCACTAAAGACAAAGAAGGAGAGGACAGTGTTACTGGGTCACAGGGCTGCACAAGGATTAAGTTCCACACTTGATCCCAGAGGACTGAGGGGAAGCCTGGGGCAAAGAGCACACTGTGTGGCCCAACACAAGCTGAGGCTCTGGGGAAAATTTGACTACTGTCAGCGCCACATGCATCCCTTCTGGAGTTTCGCCTGTCTCTTCCACAACAATGAACCAATGTAGCCAATGATGGCTGTTTATGAGGCTCCTGTGTACAGAGTGTGTTGCCTGCGTGTGTGTTTCTCACCTGGAAGATGGGACTGGTGTGTGTGCTGGGGAAGGCAGTGGGTTTGTTAAGCCACAGAATAAAGTCCCTGCGAGACAGACACTTGTGACTGGGCTGCGGTGTGTCTCTGATCTGCTCGCTGCCTCCAGGATCCTGCTGTGTCTCTTCTTCAGAGCCAAACAGGCGCTGGTAGTGGAGCCGGTAAGCGGCTTTTAGGGACAGATAAAGGGCTAACCATCTGCGAGGAGAAAGCAAACTCTTGAAAAATGGGGCATCTTCTGATATAAGGGTTAAATAAAAGCCAAATACAAGACAAGAGTCTGGTAGACATTCAACGCCTTCTTATTTTACCCCATTTAACACAAATAGGGTGTATTGTCCAACAATGCTGAGGTGAAACCAACCTTGCTAAAGTGCCTTGCAGCATAAGGTTGGACATTTCAGCCGGTGAGATGTCGATGAAACGCAGGAAGGAGAAACAACTTCCCTTGTCATCACCTAATACGGTACACAACAAAACAGAGAAAACAACACAAGCTGAATTGTCATTTACATACACTTGTTTTGGTTTTTGTGTGTAATAAATTGGATGGCCGTTGTAGATGAGTCAATAAATGAATGACTCACAGTACGACTCACCTTTTCTGTGAAACAGAGAGTGTTGGATGTGGTTTGGAGAAAATGGAGACAAAAGCACTTGAAGCAATCTGAGAACGAAAGACCCGAAAAGACAGCTTATTATGAGACAGTATAAAAGACAGTAGGCAAGTTTACTGAACTTAACTCAACTATGGACAAAACTTAACATGTGTTGATGTTAAATGTATTAAATCTAATGGTTTGTTGTAGGAATCTTTTGTCCTCTTGGGGACATTTTTCAGGTTCCCACTAAGCACCACACCACTATGTGTGTGTGTGTGTGCGTGTGTGTGTGTGTGTGTGGTCAGACACCGTAAAACTCACTTGTTTTTGAGCTGGTTGTTTGTGTGGATGAGGCCATGGCGGTAAAGAAACTTTGACATGATGTAGGGCTTCATGGACATGTGGAATGGAGAGCGTGTCTCTTGGCGCTCAAACAAGTCAGGGTGGTTACACACCTAGAGAAGACAATAAGTCTGGTTAGCAAAATTATGCACAGAAGCAATTATACAAGCATTCTCCACATTTACTAGACTGACAACAGACTGAAAATGTTTGTTCCCAGACATAAAAATGATTATAATGTGTGTTGGCTTTGTGCAATTTTCTTTCTACTTGAGCTGTTTGTGAACTGAGAAGAAGAAAAATTGAATTAAAAACATAACGCTTTCCCACCTTTCTGAACTGCATGACTAGATTCATGAGTGAGGAGGTGGTGGTGTGAGACTGCTGGGCTGTGCCCATGGAGGACTGGAGCAGGTCCTCGATGGAGATCTTATTCCTCAAGGCCTGGTAGAGCAGCCTCTGTCGAGATGTCAGCTGGCAGTAGGTCAGGATCTCAATCTGCATGGACGGAGTAAGTGGGTGAGGAATTATTGTTTGTTTGTGAGTTTAGATGACTTATGACTAATTATTTTGTTAGAAAAAAAGTTATTTCAACTCTTTCACTTGGTTTTGAAATAAAATAAACACATTTTAAAGAAAGTTTTTTTTTTCAAAGAGAGGAGATTATTTAGCTTAGTTTTATTTAGTGGTAACATTATGTTGCAATTCTATTTTAAAAAAAGTATTTTCACATAGACTCCAAAATGGAATTTACTGCTACAGACACACATTGGCCAGATTATTCAAAGAAAAACACAAACCTCTGGTTTTATCTTGCAGGGAAAGCAAACGACAAAATACCATATAAGCCAAAGTTGCTGCGCAGAATGTCACGTTTGTATTGATTTGAATGAGAGAAAAACAGCAGCAGTGGAGACCTAAATAAAGCTGGCAGGGCTACACGGGTGAGAAAGAAAGTTGAAAAGACAAATGTGGGGGCGTAGTGAACTCTGCCATCGCTCTGACTCAGCACACCGAGACTCCCACAGCATATGAGTGAGTATGTGTGCACCGTATCTGACAGCGAGAGACCCAGAGTCCAACATCTGCCAGCACGAGCATCACTCACCCGCATGTTAAAACACTTTCAGTGTCAGCACGGAGGAAGACAGATGGAGGAAGGGCACATAGGAGAAGTGTGGCTACTCTATGCTGCTGACCGAGTAAAAATATACACCTCATTGGACACTGATACGGTACTAATCCAAACGTTCAACAATTGTTAGCACCTCTGCTGAAAATCCAACACTGAACTCTTTATAAAACTAATTTAAATTAATGTGCAGTTCTGTTCAGTTCATGTGTCAGAACACAGGCCTCTTTCTTGTAGGTGTATTAGGGGGACACATGTGGAACTGGATCTACAATAAATGTAATCCTAAATATAATGATGTTATTGTTTCAAATGTTCCTCCATTTCAATTACGGTACCATTAGTCAGATTTGTTCATGTACCTTGTCTGAAAGCTCGTTTTCCACGTCCTTCTTGATCCTGCGCAGCATAAAGGGCTTGAGGATCATGTGCAGCCTGGAAAGTTGGTCTAAAACACAAACATGACAATACACAAACTGTTACTCGCACCAATGAGCCAGGACACAAAGTCAGCGCTGGCATTGGATTTGTAGAATGTTTGTACAAAATGAGACATGGAAAACATTTGGGTTTGAGGTGTGGAAAGCAAGAAAAACATGACGGAGAGGACATGCGCAGCCAACAGGAACAACTCTTTCTCAGAAGTAAAACTCACTCTCATCGATCGCCGACTTGTTTTCAGCGTGACTCTCGATGTCCTTGGAGAACCACTCATTGAACTCTTCGTGGGAATCAAACAGCGTGGGCATGATGAAATGCAGCAGAGCCCACAGCTGAGAGACAGCAATAACATACGGTCGTCAACAGTTAACACCAAGTTACGCACACACATAACAAACACACAAATCACTCACCTCAGCCATTGTGTTCTGAATGGGAGTCCCAGTGAGCAGGAGTCTGTTTCGACACTGGAACTGCAGTAGGATTTTCCACCGAACGCTAAAAACATAAATTTAATGATGCATTGTTGTTACAATCAGGCCAAAGTTCCAATCATTTGTTTTGATGTGAACCTAACTGGTGTCCTGTGATTTTAAACATATTAGATTTTCGCTTCTAAAACTTCAAACGAAAGCTTAAGTCAGCACTTCTGAGTAAATGTTGCTTAGCTGTGTCTGAAAGCACTGCCAGGCATCTGACAGAAAGCATTAGGTAAGAAAAGACAACACCCATTCTGTTTTGGGGGGGTGGGCTGCTCATTTGATCCAAGATCATTTGAAGCTTTGATTTAAACTTCAAAGTATTTTTGTTCCGCTAACGCTTTTTACCTCGAACTACTTTTTAGTGCTTGAGCCTCATCCAGGACCATGTACTGCCACTTGACTCTCTGGAAGTATTTGACATCCTGGACCACCAGCTGGTAGCTTGTGATAACCACATGGAATGGCGCGTTTTGAGTGTAGAGGGTTTTCTGCACAAACATACACAAATGGACGGAAAGACCATTAGCTGCTGAAAGATAAGTAGGAGAGCCTAAATCTAAATTATCAAACTTTACTTTGCAATGAATCTTTCACTCACCTGGCTCCAGAATTTCCGAATAACTTTACGATCATGAGGGTTTCCCCAATATGGCAACACCTGGTGGGTGGGGAAAAAAACAGCTTGGGTAAAATGACAAATTGTGCATCTATGTATCCCGAAAGATCTGGGATTTTTGAAACTACATTCTTCTAAACCACTGAACGATGTTACGGAAACAGAGCGACACAGATGGTCCCAGAGGGAACACTCAGACGCGACTTTCACATGTGAATCACTGCATCACTTGTTGAGTTGTTGATGGTAAAAAGTTACAGTGTTAATGCAAAAAAGACTTGCACATCATTACATCACTCATCACACCATGGACCTCCATTGTTTTCAATCAGTCTTGCTTTCAGTGTTCAGGAAGGCTATCGTTAAACCAACTAATGGAGTCTTTTAACACTTCATTAGGGAATAAAAGCTGGAATTGATTTACTTTCAATCTGCAAACAATTGAGCATAGTTCTGTCTGTGTGCACGGCTGACATATTGATGTGTCTCATGAATCTTCTGAAGGCAAAAAGAATAAAGAGAATGCATCAACATTATAAGCTCAGTATCAAAGTGATGGATATGCCCTAATACAACAGTACCCCCTACTGGACAGCTCAATCCTTTTTTTAAAAAAAAAAGTGACAAAGTTGGGGGCAGTGACATTAGAACAATTCTCAAGATATTATAAATACAAGAATTTATCACCTTAAATTTGGGCACAAAGCGGGTGAACTCCTGATGCCAATTGTTGAGTGTGGATGCAGGAGAAATGATCAGGAATGGACCCCAGATGTTGTCTCTCTGAAGAAAAAAACACAGTCAGCTAAAACAGCAGGTGGTCTTTGAATGTGGCCTGTGTGCGCACTGCAGCATCCAGTGACAGGAAACCCTGGAACACGGCATGCATCTTCCTGTCAGCAACAGTCTGATGCTGAAAGGCTCACGTTTCCACTGAATTCTGCTCCCCCCACGCCCCTGCCTTTGGAATATGGGAACCAAGAGATCTAAAGAGCGGATAAATCAGCTATTCACAACAATGAAATAAATCATTCAGGCCTTTCAGTAAAATGCTCCGGCACCTGCAGGAGACTCAGCCAGAGGATGCAGGTGCATGGACAAAATTGATGTCAGCAGTAACAGCTAGGACAATTGAAAATTTGACAGAAGTCTTTGGAGGTTTGTGGGGTATGAACCTCTGTGGGCTGATGTTCTCTCTCACCTCTGCTAAATGTGCCAAAAGGGCGATACTCTGAACTGTCTTTCCCAGTCCCATCTCATCGGCTAGGATACCATTGATTCCCTGTAATGATAGATAGATAAGAAACATAGAACACAAATTCACACTCTGTAAATTATAGGTTGTTCTCACTTCTTTCTTCATGATAAGCAATGATAAACTAATAATAGTAACAATAATAATGAAACAGTAATCTAGCTGACATTACCTGCTCATAGAGGTTAGCCAGCCAGTTCATGCCTTTGAGCTGGTAACCCTTGAGTTTTCCATTAAAGATAGTGGGCTGAGGAATGTCTTCTCCAGCGTTGATGGATGGGTTGGAGAGGCTGTAGCTCTCTCCAAACCCAGAGCCGAGGCCAGAGGACAAGCCACCAGCGGCATGCAGGGACGCAAAGCGGCTATCTTTAGCCTCCTCGTCAAACATTCGTGTCTACAGGGAGGAATTTCATTAAATCATTAAAGTATTTTTGAATATCATACATATGATTTGTGTGTGCATTTATATATAAAGAGTGAGTTTTGCTCTTACTTTCTCTTGATGAATCTGGTAGGCCTCTTTGGCATTCCTCAGGGCCTGGGACTTGTAGTATTCACTATCTAAAATCAAATTCAGTCACGTTTAAAATTGTATTATAGTATAACTTCACCACTGTTCTGTACACAGAACCATAAACATTACCATATTCCTCCTGCCCCACATTGACCATGACGCCTCCTCCAATGTCTATCTGTCTCTGTGCCGCAGTGTCATCCAGCTTTCTAAGTATTTCCTCCTGGGCGGTGTCACCTCCCGGACCTCCCACACTGGCTTTACCACTCATGAAATGAGCATAAAGCTCTGTCTGGGTGATGAGGAAGTTTAGTTTGCGTTGCTGACGTTTGGCCTGCCGGACAGAGAAAAATAGATCACTATTCTGGTTTTCAAATGATTGTATTATCTGTTTTACATTTTAATGTTCACATTTGTAACAGATTTTTCCTCAAGAGGGATTTCTCCTCCACCTACCTCTCTCATCTCCTCGTCTAGTTTGCGTTGCTCCAGGGCCTCCTTTTCTGCCCTCTTCCTGTGCTCCTTCTCTACTTTTTCATATTTCTTCCAGTAAAGCATCATCTCCTTGGTGAGGCGTCGAGCCCGGGGTAATGTCTCCTTACAGTTCTTCTGAGCCTGGATGGCGGCACGTCGTACTTCTCGCATGCACTGATGAGCCAGCTGGCACAGGCATAACAGAGGATGAATGTTATAATTAAAAATGTGCCTCAAAAACTCATTAAAAGAAATTTCTAATCAACAGAAACACAGAACAAACCTTTTTGGCATTGGTTAGCACCAGATTCTTTGCAGAGGTTTTTTGTTTAAAAGACTGCAAAATGTCAAAATGTCATATAATTAATAAACTGTAAATAAATGATATTTTTAGATTTGTCTGCATTAACATCAGGCCTACTCACTTTAGGAATCTCCTTTTTGGCGATGGTGAGCCAAACTTTACGTCGTCGTGCATTCAGCTGCTCAACGGTTAGATGTTTCTTTTTCACTAAGGGCAGTGGTGCATCATGGGAAAACCTGGCAAAAACCTTATTGGTGTAAGAAAGTCCCTCTTCTGTAAAGTCTCCCTCGCCACGTTTTTTCTTCTTCTTCACCTTTTTCAGTTTGGCTAAAAAAATTAATAAAAGCATAAATCGTAAATATTTTTTTTTATTTTTCCTGTCATGTAAAAACATCTCCAGGTCTTTTTAGTTCCTTTTTTACCCTTGAATTTCTTCTCATCTTTAATTTTCTTCTTCTTTGGGCCCAGCAGTTGGCGCTGTTGCTCATAGAAGGGGTCGTGTGTGGACAAGAGTCCAGTGCTGTAGTACTGGTACTGGTGGAGCTGTGAGACACAGAGCCACATTTTAAAAGTGTTAGTGATTTTCTTTTCTTTTCTTTTTTATTATTCTTTTGACTGTATTTACAAATATGTGTACCTCATGATCTGAGTGGAACTTGCTCTGATGCTGCCTGGTGAAGCGATGCAGCCTGAGCATGTCATGTAGCTCCTCCCGAGACAAGGCAAAATCTGAGTCATCAGAGTCTGTGTCTGAGCCGGTGGTGTCATCGGTCAACAGAATACTCTACAGGATTAAAACAAGGACAGTGGTTACACATCAAAAATAAGACAAGGAACCAGGGGGAAAAACATAGTCATCGTTATCAAGATACCAAAACAGAACACTACAAATGTAATACTCACACTGTCTTTTAATTTACTTCATACAAACAAATATGACTAGAGGTCATACAATACCTTCAGCCATTTCCTGTTTTTCTTCAGCTTGGAGAAATTGTAGAGACTTGCTTTATCTGCCTTTTGGTCTGTAGAGTAAAGAAACATAAAATAATCATATATAACATTTACAACCTAATGATGACAGATATTGCATAGACAATATATCATGATAGAGTAAAAAAAAGTGCAGATATACGATAGTAGACCCAAGTCTTATCCCAAGAGTTATTAGTGCTACTGTAGTTAGCTTAAATATTCTCTTAAGACAACACATGATTAAGATTTCTCATTTACTTGCAATAAACATTATAACACATTTCATTATTTTAAAGACAGATTGAGCATATTTAGTTTGGAAATTCTTCCCTTGATAACTATTTTTATAAATAATAAACTAATTAGACTTTTAAGAAAAAACAAGGGTGCTTAAGAACTAATCCACACTACTGAAATTGCATAATAATATTTAAAAAACATTCTTAAGTGATTACTGATGGGTCATACCTTTACCTTGAAGGATTCCATTAAGAGGCTTGTTCTCTGCCAATTCTTCTCCCTGTTCACAAAACTCACTTTTCACTGTCAGTGGATGTGGTGTTGAGTGGTCCAGAGATAGTTCAGTACCCAGTGCACCATCACTGTCATCACTGTCGTCACTGAAACAGCAAAAATGTGTAGTTGTAAAATTATCATTTCCATTCAAGCCAAATATAATAAAGACGTGTTTTTCTTAGTAATTTACAAAATACAAACAAGTTAGTATTTTATGATGGCTAACATTATATCTAATAATATTAGGATTTACACCCACACTCACTCACTCCCTGTACCTGGTTATGTCTTTGTTAAAGATGTTTGCAGTGTGACGCAAGAAACTGTCCAACCTCAGGGATCTTTCTAAGCGTTGCAGGTAGAGGGGTTTGGCCAGTCCTGAGGTACCAGTTCCACCAATCTCAGGACGGCCACTCTGCCCTGATGCCATGACACACAGACGCCTCTGCCCAGCAGGGCAGCAACTTTTACTAAGGAGAGAAAAGTGGAGAGGAGTGGTATTATGTTCAGAATTTTCAGGTACATTTAATTAACCTGAGAAAATGTATAATTGTTCATAATGGCTCAATCAGCTTAGAACAAAATGTTAATATTCTATTTTGTTTTCACTAATATCACTAATATCTCAATTAATTGATCAACCATATATTCTAGATTACTGGCATTACAATTCTGTTCCTACCTTGTTAGTAAATGAAGTCATTGCACTTGGGTCAAAGAATCAATTCAAAGGTGGAAAGCCCTACGGGAAAAATATAACAGTCACAGATAAAGTATTGAAAATGAATAAACACACTGAAAAATAATTTTCCCATTATGTCTTGTTCAATCTGATCATTGTAACACACCAAACACTAACACAATACGTGATACATGACTGTAGTATTTACAGATTAGGCGTATTGGTTTATTTAGAAAAGGCCAAAATAAAATAAAAAACGTGTGTGAAAATGAATAAACACACTGAAAAATAAAAAATTTGTCAGACTGAATGTTTGTTTTCTTTATTTTAAAGTGTTGTGTCAGTAATTCAAATGTGTTTATAAATGATTTATTTCCTTGTGTAATAATGACCTATAAAGCAAAATCTTCAAAAGCAAGAGCTTCATCAAAGCAAACAAAAATGCTCACTTTTATTCACTTTCAAAGATTATTTTATTTCTAAAAAAGCAAGTAGTGTTAGTGCATTAATTTGTTGATCAAACTTATCTAATCACTGCATGTAATTAACTGGTCATTAAAACATGTTGGTTAGTTACGCTGTAAGCAGCCTGTGGAATAAGTTGGCTAATGTTGACCTTTTGAGTGTTTTGTTTTTAGTTAACCATTCATAAAACACATGTTGAACAGAGTTTAGTTTATATTTGGTACACTATATTGAAATATAATAATTTGGTAGTGCACTTGAACCACTATTTACTAGGCAAAAAGGTCTTTCAGGGTTTTTATTGATCAAGTAGACATTTAATACATTCAACACTTTAAAAACAGTTTGGGCAGGTTTCTTCAGTCACACAATCTTCTCTTTTAACTACATTATTATTGATTTGTGTATGTGTATATACAGGTTGGCTGGTGGAGCCTTTTATCCTATAATTTTCATGTGACAATGAACACATTTTATTGTTTTGGTCTATCTCAGATGAGCTTACATCCAGAGAATTAATGCACCGGCACAAAATTAACGAGTATCTTCGTCTTTGCAAACCTTCAGGAGGTAGTTCTGTTTTATTTAATAAATTTAATACTATTGCTGCTTCTACTGAAAATGCCATTAATATTTAGCAGCATTTTTAGCTCTAGCATTTACAGATTGACTCGACTGTAATTATTTTTTGCTGCATTGTTTGGCACAGTGGTTACATTCTTATTTACCAACAAATTGTCTTTAGATATGCTTTATTTATATTTAATCTAGATACCTAAATGATAACGTGTTGCTCCAATAAAGTGTCTTTCCCATGTTTTGCATGTGTTACAGGACAGCTCCTGCATCTGTTTTCAGATTAAAGCTATGTTTTCAAGTCTTTTGTCTATTTGAACAAAAATAAAGTAAACTGGCAAAGTACATGTTGAGTATTTTTTATTGCTTTTGGAGATGTACAAACTTTTATGAAATATGAATTGGAATGCAAGCTTAATTAAAATTATGCGCTGATTAGTGTAATTTTTACATTACAATTTCATTCACTAACTTAGACCGACACGCTTTTTGGAAATATGCATTCGTATTTAAATCACATTTTTATATTTACTAAAATGCTATATCAGTTATGTGCCATTTCAACATTTACGTGCTACCAATAGAGATGTTTTAAGCAACAAACTGAGGAGCTAAGCTACAAAAAGAAATTCGGAAATGCAGTTTGCCAGCGCTAGCTTACCATGAGTAGTGCATGTTTGGTAACGGCTGCTAACAGCCGTTAGCTACTTTTAGCACAAGCTACACTCCCTGCGATAAATAGGGTCAAGGTGATGATATGCACATGCAGACATACTATACGTAAAGCACGTTACGATTTCAACGACTGTTTATACTGAAGTGTGTTTTCAGCTCCTTTCACATAAAACTACATATTTACTGTTGTATCCTTATAGATCTGCAGCGTTTGATCGATAACATTAGCCTATGAAATACTGATGCATTTACCTAATTTACACTATCTCTCACACTATTAATATGAGGTATGCAAATTGCCTCTGTCTCTTTAAGGCCAACACCTCAATTTTCAAACAATGTGTTAAGAAAAGTTGATGGTTTAATTGACATTTTGAGATAGTTGCGTCACGGGAGTAGCCAGGCCTGCCACCCGCACCTCTCGTATCTTTGATGCGGACACAAGCTGAACGAGAGATCCCTATGTTCTAAATCTTTCTTCCTCCCGGCCATCTTTCCCCTATGCTCCTTCGCCATAACAACCACCTCCGTGTCTCTCACCTCGGCCCCGTGTCCCCCTTTTCGCGTCTCACGTCGTTGCTGGCGACTCTCGGTTCACAGACTCCAAAATGGCGGGTTGAGGCAACGAGCGAGTCTGTGAGCTTTGAGTCGACAGCAACAGCGGAGAGGCGGCCACTTTCTGTTACTGAGAGAGAGGAGACACGACGCCATGGCGAGGATACAGCAAGGAGCAGGCGTTTTAATGGATCACAGAGAGCAGAGGCTCGCGTTTTGACAATGCTGATGACCCTTTAAATGCCATGGATCGACACGGTCTATTTTGGAGAATTAACCATCTCCATGTTTACAATTTATAACAATTGGTAGGTTAAACTATACAAAATAACAACGTATCGATAATTTCCCTGTGTCGATTATCTCTGTCTGCCCATTTCGAAGATTACCGAGCTACGCCTGACGTCACGAGTAGGAAACTCCGTTTAAGGCAAAACCTGACCTTGTGGAGTTTCTTTCTGTGAAATTTCAACATTTAAATTAAATTATATTTTTATGATTGATTCTGTAGAAAAGCTCGTTGAGAATTTAATTAGATGTAAACAGACCCTTTAAAATATATTATTCAGTAGTGACTGCTTCTAATCTTCTTACCGAACTGTAAAGCATGTTAGTTTTTTTTTTATTTTGAAGTGATCTAATACCATTTTACAACACTAATAAACGCTAATAAGATTATTATTGGTCAAATACATGATGTCTTAATAAGCCAAACAAGGGTAGCTGAAGCAGTTATTCCATATATAGTGCATTAAAATCCAAAATCAATTAAACATTACCTTTATTGAGCTCTTCAGGCACATAAATGTACTTTACAGACCTAACACTGATTTAAATCATTGATTCATGCAGATCACAGCTGACTGCTGATGGTCCCACACAAAGTGCAAAGGTCTCAAAGTTTGCAACAAAAAAATGGTTTGTATTTAGTATTAGGCAATTGAAGCAGGCACAGTTTCACCAGTAAGCATTTCAACAAAAGGTCAGTCCAGTGGGCTGATATGAAGGAGATACTTCATAACCAGCTTGATTTCTCCTCCTCACATTTCTGTGGATCAATGAAAGGCTTGTCAATGGATTTGATCATATGTTCTCCACAGTACACACATTCAGACGCAATGATGTCGTCAATGTCTGATTTTATCTGATCACGACTTGTGCCTGCATTGCCCTTTCCCAGACTGGCAGTGTCACCCTCATCCTTCGGCAATGGGCGATGGCGTGACTTGGAGGATTGTGTAGTTGCAGCCAGCTTCTTCTGCAGATCCTCTAGACGACTTTGCTTGTAAGCTGACAAATGAGGTGTTACCTCCTAAAGAAAATAATACATTAGTACATCTGTTATTATAAGTGTTTTAATTTGTTTAAAATGCCAAACAATTTTCTATAAAATAAATAAAATACCTGGAACAGACAGTCATAGTGGAACATGTGTCCACATAGAAATAGATAGAAGGGCCTGTTGAGCAATGGGAAGTCACAAGAAGCACACTTTTCTTGGGAATCCACCACTCCATATTTGTTCCTCATTTCCTGAATGTCTTCTCTGATTTTTTTGGCACTTTCAGTAGCCTCCTCCATTTCCTGCTTAAGTTCCTCGATGTGCTGGTTGTACTCCTTCAGGGAGCTGCAGATGGCCTCCTGAGACACACAGAGTAAAATGAGACATGGTATATTTCACTTAAACTAAAGGTAACATGTACCAGTTACAACTATGGGAAACACAGCTATTGTATCATTATGATCACACACAATGATTAATACTAACCCTTAGACTTTATAGGACATTGTGTCATATTGCATAGCGATTGTAAGGATATTTTAAGCACATCTTGGAGTGAAAACATAGTCTAAATATCTATTAATACTGCAGCTTCATTCACTTTCTTACTACTAGGCTGCACTTTACCAAATGGAAAACTCAGCCAGATTGAACCAAATTGTGTCATTTATTACTGACTAAGAACATTGCTGGAATTACATTGCTGGGTTTCTTCTTTGCAACAAACCTTAAAATGGTCAATGGTGACAAAGTCTGGGAAAAATGGCAAGATATCTTCAATCTTCAGCAGGTCGCAACTAGAAAGACAGTTCATGGCTTTTTTCACATCTTTTTCCTCTTGCACAACGTGCTGGGCAATTTTTAGCCAAAGCTTCTTCCTAAGTTCCTCGTCGTCTTCAGGGAGATCGGCACACGACTTGGCTAAGTCTACATCTACCTGCAGGGAATACAAGTTAGAATTAAATCAAGTGCTAAAGGTAGCATTTTAATATACAGATGAAAAAACATTTTATAATTTTAAAATTCATATATATACCTGATCATTTATTGAAATGAAACAAAGACAGAAAAACATATATCACTTACTTTTAAAGCCAGATCCACTGCTTCTTCATATAGTTCCATTATCCTATAAACCAAGACACAAGCCCGGAGGTAGCCATGTTCTGCGCACAACCTGAGGGCATACTTCAGGTCATAGCGTATCTCTGAAGCATGTGTGCCCGCCTGCTTTAAATAAGACAGTAGAGAGTCTGGCTTATACTTTGCGTAAAGCGACAGCAGGTAGTTATGGATCGCCTCCTCTGTTACCATGAGTTCGTAAACACAGAACTCCATGTAACGGATCGTTTCACTGATCTGCTGAGTGCTGCCCATCTGGCTATAATTCATCAGAGCTGGGATGAGCTTTTTTGGGTCCAACTTTTTTCCCATCTGAATCCAGGCATCAACCACTTTCTTGGGAATATGCTGCATGAGGACAGGTGAGAACTTGTAAAAAAGCTTTTCCTCACAGTGCTTGGAAAGAACGTCCAGGGCAGAGCTAAAGTCGTCATGTTGGCAGTGATGGGATATCACTCTCTCATAATCCTGCATGACAACAGAGAAGTAAACCATGTCCTCCACATTGCCATGACTGGCCAGCAGATCATAGATGGTGCTGCGGTTGTTGAACAGGCACTCCTTGTATTTAGAGCTGCTGAGGAAGTGACGGAACTCGTCACGGATTTCCTGAAAGATAATAGTGTTACCATCACTCTCCAGCTGGCCAAGTCGGTTCAGGTAGAGCTCGGTTAGCCAGGTCACTAGCAAGGTTATCTGTGTTTTCTCACTCTGTTTCAAATTATTCAGCTTCTTTAGCAAGAATTCCTTCAATGCATCCTCCTGTTTGGCCTCAATAAACTTAAGTGCTATCTCTTCAAAATAGTTCTGTGTCAGTGCATAGCACTTGGCGCTCTCCAGGTAGCGCTTATTCTGAAAGCAGTGCTCAGCCTCCTTGGCCAGTACCATGTCCATGCACTCAGGCCTGTCACGGCAGTACTCCTTCGCCAGATCAAACTTATTCATGCTCATGTACATCTGCCACACATCTCTGGCCTCACGCTGGATGTGGTACCGGAAGACTGCCCGCTCTGTGTAGATCCATATCAACCCACCAACAGGGTCCTTGTTCATCCTCTTGAGAGGCCCATATTTATCTGGGAACACATCCTCATAAACAACCTGACCATTTAAGGTGCAGATTGCTTTCACCCGGTCATGAAGCAATAATAGGAAATGGAACTGCGTCAGCACAATGGAGATGGGCTTGTTGAGACTGATGTCAATGTCTGGAGTGTACTCCCACACCTATTTGATAGGGAAGCACACAATTACAAAGAAAATAAAAAATAAAATATGACAGACACAAGTGGGATGAGTGCATGTTTGGCCACACACAACTATAAACATTTACCTGCACATCGCTGAGAAGAGAATCTGGCCTCACGTAATCCAGCTGACCATAAAGAACACCATTACCCATCATCCACGCAAATGCCTTTGGGGACGTCCGTAACTTTGAGGTGTAGAACGTAATCTCACTGTAGCCCATATTGGCAGGGAACTCCTGAAAACTTGGCAGCAGGTCCTGGTTCTGGTTGAAGATGGAGCTGAAGCCTTGCTGCTCTGACCCCTCAGCCACCTTACCGACAAACTGAAAAAGGCGTTTGCGAGTAGTGGCTATGATGAAATACTTGTTTTCCAAGCCACGTTCAATCTCCAGACAGCAGACAGGCGCTGGTTTACCATCCTCTTCCAAGAAGTGGACCTGTATTGTATTATTTAGCACAAAAGACATGGATCAATGCCTTTAGCTTTACCTACTGAAATGTTCCAAATACTTATATACAAATATAATTCTAATGTTTATATCATCATGTCCGACAGTCTCTGACCTGTCTGAAGTACTGGTCAGGATTGGTGTTGAAAAGGCTGCCTTCATTTGCAGAGATCTCAGCTTCAAAGATGATCCCTTGGCTTGTGCCAACTAGGATAGGCCCAGTGCTGGACTCATTGCCGAGCAGCTTGTTCCAGCCAACACTCTCAATGAGGTGTCCTCTCCACCGGGACAGACTACGTGCCTTTTGGGTGTTTCTGTTAAGGTACAGACACTCACTGGTGCTTAGGCTGATCAGCACATGAGAACCTGCAGTGATAATGTATGAAAAGGAAAAAGGACTTAGTGGTTATAATATAACAGATACTCACCAGATTATCATAGATGATGCAGTAGGCCTTATAAAATCATCTTCTTTTTTAAAAAAATGCAATGAAATGACTAATATATTTTAGTTTTTCTCTCACCTGTGGGATCTAGGAACAATTTGTAAACTCTGCTGTCGTCTTTCCTTCCTAATTCAATCTGATTAGGTTGTTCAGGTTTGGCCAAGTCAATCCTGCGTAAAACACACATAAATATGTCAGTACAAAGAACCATAATTATTTTATCAGGAATGTGAATACACAACAGAAAACAAACAAAACAGCACTGCTTATTTTAAGGGGGGAAGCATCGGGTTAATCCAATCACTGTAGTTTTGGTCATTAGAGCAGTGTTCTAATAGTGAACGACTTGCCTTAGCAGGGTGTCCTTTCCCAAACTCATGCATAGCTGACTGTTGCAGACTGCGAGATGGTTGATCTTCTCTGGAGGAGTGAAGTCGATCCTCTGCTTATTGAATATCGGTTTCTCTTCCTCGAGTCTCACATTTACAAAGCCTTGCATAAAGAAACGTACTTCAGTCAGGAAAACTCTTAAAGATAAATCGATTAAATGAGGTTTTACTGTACATATTGCACCAATCACACAATTACAGTACGGGAGGAAAAGGGCAACATACCCGAATGTGCTATACCGATGTTGGTGCTCGACAAGCGGCTATGATGCTGCGCACTTTGCCTAGAATTTTGTGAGTCTTCGTACTCGTCGAGAATTGAAGCCATGTTTAATATCGCTTAGTGAACCGTGTTTCTGCTGTGACAGATAAACAAAACCTCAAGTAAAATAGGCCCGTGATACGTCAATTCAAATACGACATAGCTAAATGAGTGAGCGAGTTTACAGTCTGCTAAAGATTTCTTCCGTCCAGTGAAGTAGCCTTTTTTCTTGTTACACCCAGAATATATATTTGCTGTACTCCCCACTACCAGTTAGAATTGAAGAAGCCTCTTGGATGAGACGTGAAACGCATGCAGGGTGTCCTGTCGGCTGTCGATTATTAAAACTGTTGCTGAAAAACAAATAGACGAAATAACACATGTTATTGTTGTAACAACGACTAGCTTAGCTTCCGACTAAGGAAAACAGGGTAGGTGCGCATAATCATGTGACACATGATGGAATCATGTGACCACGTATACTGTAGTGCTTCACTTTGGCTCTGGGGGGCAGAGTTTTACAACTTTTTTCAAAGGTCTTATAATTCTGCAGTAACTTCCTATGTGGGCGTGTCTATGCAAATCAACCTGCGTGATCTCCTCCGCCCTTCACATGTCTCCAGTCAGTCTCAGTGAGACAGCCAGTAAACCTTAAGGAATGAGAGAGAGGCTGCAGGTCGCAGCTGACTCTCACTGTTGAGTTCCTTCATAGTTTACTACAGACAAACTGCAGGAGGAAAAGAGAAAAGGGACGGCAGTCTGAAGGTTAATGTGCGGCCCGACATGCCACCTCACATGGATTACTTCTACCACGAGTCCCGAGTCCCATCTGCCTGCGGGCTGACCCGGGAGGATGAGCTGGAGCCCGGCGTCATCAGCTGTATGCTGGTCGGAGATGGAGCTGTCGGGAAGACCAGCATGATCGTCAGCTACACCTCCAATGGTTACCCTACAGAGTATAAACAGACGGGATTTGATGTATTCTCTGGTAAGACCTTTATATTATTTTTATTTATATAAAATTTCAGGTGTCAGGGTTGCAGTGTGATATCAACAGTTTATTTCTATTTACAATGGTCAAATACTTGTCTTCTTAACTCTGTATGGCTACAATCACTTTAAAATCACATTTTATTCATGTTTTGTTGTTACTACTTACAGAATAATCATGATAATATTATTGCAGAGGCTGTCATTGCCAACAACCAAATTAATAAATATCGATGTATATTGTAAATGTGATTCTAAAGGTATTTGTAAATTGTTTAAATAAAAGATACAGCAAAACCCGTTGTTACCAAATCGTTAACGTGTCTGGTTTCTAACAGGTCAGGTCCAAGTGGAAGGATCTCCGGTCAAAGTTCAGCTGCTGGACACTGCTGGACAGGTAAAACTGTTTTACATGTCAGCAAAAAAACACCCTGAGATTTAGAGTTCAAACTGTTTTTGTTTGAAAAGAAGGAAGCAGTAAATCAGCATTTCAGATGTCAAAAGTCATCAAACACCCATGATAAAAATGCACTGCTAAGTTCTTCCCGGTTCTTATTTGTAATCTTAAGTCTGATGTTACGTCTTGTTGCTACATTTTTTGCTTGATCTTATATGAAGCACTTGTCATAGGGGTTACGTACTGTGCCATCATGTGTCATCTCGTTTCCGTATTCAAATTGTGACTCAGCAATTTGGTTTCACCATTTTTTGAATGAATGTTCTCCTCCTGACTATGTAATGAGTCAGATACTAATCTCTGACTACATCTTGCTGTAGCTTGTGTGATACTAATTTGATTTCTTTCTGACTTTGTGCTTCTTTAAGGAGGAGTTTGATGAATTCAGGGCTCTGTCCTACGCCCATGCGGATGTTTTCCTCCTGTGTTTCAGCATGGTCAACCCCTCATCATTTCACAACGTTACTAAAAAGTGGGTTCCAGATATCCGGGCTCACAATCCCTCCTCACCTATCATCCTTGTTGGGACACAGTCGGACCTTCTGTTGGACGTGAACGTCCTCATAAACCTGGACAAATCAAACGTCAAGCCAATTCCGAGTTCTCGGGCCAGGAGCATGGCTGACAAGATCAGGGCCACGGACTACATTGAGTGTTCGTCACTCACACAAAAGAACTTAAAGGAGGCATTTGATTCGGCCATCTTTGCTGCCATTAAGAACAAAGCCCGAAAGACAAAGAAGAGGAGGTTTTCCGACAGGCGCACCAAGGCGTTCTCAAGGTGCAGCTGGAAGAAGTTCTTCTGCTTCATCTGAGCTCCATTAATTGTTAACCCTGTGGGTTATGGACAAATGATGAACTTTTTAAGTTCTTACTTTCACTTAATGCTGCAGGTCCCATTTGTGGTACTTTTTCATCTTTCTCCTGAGTATTTGGCTTTTATTCAACTCTGGATGCTAACTGGTGCAAGTGATACAAAAGATGGGCGCAGTGAGGCTTTAAGCAGAAACGATTATGAGTCTTGATCAACCTGGACATTTGAAACACACTTCTTCCTTTATGGCTAAAATTTATCCGAAGAAACTGAATATATATAGTTGTTATAGTGTGTATGTGCATGTGAATGTGCACATTCAGTAAAACAGAGTTAAATAGGTGCTGATGGTTAAGCTTTGAACGTGAGTAATGACATTGAACTCAAGAGAATCAAAGAACAAGATCAGACCATCATGTAAATGTGGCAAATTTGCATGGTGAGCTTTGTCACCAACTGCTGCCTTGAACTGTAGGTGAGAGAAAGACTGAAAGGAAGAGAGCGTCAGAGCCATGTTTGAGTAGATGGGCG